ATTTTCAAAACTAAATGTAAAGCCTCCTGCAGTGATATAAGGAGAGATTGTGAGTTACTTTTGTGATTTGGGACTACGAGGCGGTACCTCAGTAGTGGCCCTTGATGATTTTCTCTATTTGTTGTACTTGTCTTGGTTGTTTGTTTCCTTAACATGTCGATCCTTGTGTTTCTTCTGTGTTGTATTATCTGCTTTGATTTTGTGTAGTTAACTTTTGGTAAATTCCTTATTGTTTCATTTCCATTGTCATTATCATTGTATTGTTATATCTTTCGTCATGTTTCCTATTATTTTTGGTAGGGCATTGACTTGACCTCATCATTACTCTACCGAGGTTAGGCTTGGCACTTACTGGGTACCGTTATGGTGTACTCATACTACGCTTCTACACATCTTTTTGTGCAGATTCAGGTATATCTTATCAGTCCCGGCACTAGTGAGCTGAGTTGCATTTTAAGACTTAAAGGTATACCTGCCCGCGTCTACAGGCCTTGGAGTCCCATCCTATCCCTTTTTATATTTCCCTTCTTTACTAGACATAGCTGTATATGAATTGTTTTGGTATTGTCATAGAGCTTGTGACTTGTATTACATCGGGTTTTGGGCTATCGTATATACTTTGAGCTGTAGAGATTTCTCTTTATATATATATGTTGCTGAGTTTTTGAGATTTTAGATTATTGTTTCATTCACTTCCGCATGTTTATTAGGCTTACCTAGTCTTGGAGACTAGGTTCCACCACGATATCCTAAGGAGGAAAATTGGGGTCATGAAAATAGCATTGTTATAAACCCTCTATAACCTCGTGAATGACCTTAATCCCTTCAAACTCATCTGAAGTTACTACGATTCATCCTAACGCTAAAGTACGAGATGTTACATTCGTCCCCCATTAGGAACATTCGTCCACGACTGTTGGATCGCAGCTTGGTGCTCTAACACATTACTTTTACATCTAGAGTGTACCATTCTGACAGGGACTTTGAATTTACTTATCTCTCCAATGGTAATCACATGAAGCAGAATGATTCTCTAAAGTCACAGCTCTACAGCACGATCCAGAGTACGAAAGAAAGCTAACATTTTCTAAATGCCATGTAGCTTCCCAATTATAAGTGTGGCACACAACACACTCATAAGTGAGACTCTACTAGACACGATTTTGTAGACTCTCTAGGACACGACCTGCTCTGATACCACTTTGTCACGCCCCAACGTGGGGAGGCATGGCTGGCACCCGGTGTCGTACTGGCCTGAGAGAACCACTCTGTAACTCATGATCGTCCAAATAAAACTCAAACATACATAGGTTGAGTTGGCTAAAATCAGTCTTTCTGTAATCATCATGGGCCAACATGGCTACAACTCGTAATGCATAATTGTAAGTAGGCAAACATTGTATCAGAGATCCATCATACTTAAAACATAAATACACACGGGCCGTCAATGCCTATGACATACTGTACATAATGAACCCGTGTCTACAAATCCTCGAAGAGTATTCGATATCAAATGGGATATGGCCCTGGCCTACCCATAAGTTTATGGCAAAACTCTAATATGATGACTTATAGACTCGACTGCACTCCGTATGAAATGCAGTATTACCAATCCTTTGTTGAATGCTAATCTTGTCTACTATGAGCGCTCGACAAATTAATTATCTACACCTGCATGCATAAATGCAATGTTCACAATAAAGAGGATGCTAATACGAATAATGTATCGAGTATGTAAGATAGAACTAAAATATAACAATAAGTAAACATCAATGAAAGAGATATACGAATCAACTTGAATCTCTGAAGTGATATTGAGGACCATGATATGGATACTAATTATACTTATATATTCACTGCATCTCTTTGGGACTATTATTAATACCGTAACGTAGAACTTTTGAAATATTCAATTACCAATAAATCATGGGCATTTTATAAAGTTAATACATGCACTAACATTTCAAAGAGACGTGAAGGTTATAACATTGGTAAAAATTATATTTCATCAAATTCTAATGTTTCCCATCTAATCTCAATAATACAAATTTTTGTACTACTAATTCTCAAAATGGGAAAAGATAATTTTTATTATGAGAAAATAATTTTTGTCTTTATAACAAAGAAAATCCCATTTATAAACTTTTTCATATGAAGTGTACAATTTAAATCATATCTGGAAGTAGTAATAATAGTAACTATCCAAAATTATACTTAACAATTCTTTGTTAAAAGGTTTTACTTATAAGTAAATATATATACACCCTATCAAAATAACGTCAAACGGTATTAAGATTGTAAAACAAAATAGCATTTTCATAAACCCTCTCTAACCTCATGAATGACATTAATCCCTTCAAACTCATATGAAGTTACTACAGCTCATCCTAACGCTAAATTACAGGTTGTTACAAGACTGCCTTGACTGTAGCTCTAGTTCTATTTTTACCTTCGAGATTGGGTTCTTATACAGTCTATTGTGATGCTCACGGATTGGCATTGGATGTATGTTGATGCAGGAGGGTAGAGTTATTGCTTATGTTTCGCGTCAGTTGAAGCCCCATGAAAAGAACTACCTTGTACATGATTTGGAGTTGGTATCAATTTTCACACACTTAAGATTTGGAAGAATTATCTTTACGGCATGTCTTGTGAGGTGTTCACATATCACAGGAGTATCCAACACTTATTCAAGGAAAAGAATCTAAACTTGAGGCAACAGAGGTAGTTAGAGCTACTAAAGGACTATGATATCATCATTCTTTATCACCCGGGGAAGGCCAATATGGTGGCCGATGCTTTGAGTAGGAAGGCTGAGAGAATAGGGAGTCTTGCTTATATTACAGTTGGGGAGAGACCATTAGCATTGGATGTTCAAGCTTTGGCCATTCAGTTAGTGAGGTTGGATATTTAGGAGTCCAGCAGAGTTTTTGCTTGTGTTGTATCATTGTCGTCCTTGTTGAGCGCATTAAGGCGCGCCAGTATGATGATCCCCACTTGCTTGTACAAAGGGACATGGTGCTTCACAGTAATGCTAAGGAGATTACAAATGGAGATGATGGGGTATATAGGCTTCAAGGCCGGATCTATGTTCCAAATGTGGATGGAAACTACCTCAACCTTTTCTTCCATGGCTAACTTTAATTTTCTAGCTTGTTTTGTCTTGTGTCGGTCGCACCCAATTATGCAACTATTGAATATAATTTGGTGTATATATATATGTGTGTGTGTGTGGATGTACTATCAAGTTTGTGTTTTGCCCTCCCACTTATTATCCACGTCTTGTAGTTTAAGGGGATACCATATGATCTTCTAATAATGCTAGAATGAGTTGTATTTATAAAGTAATTAAAAGTCAAACGGTGTCACGTTGTATCAACTAATGTTAAAATAAGTTGTAGATATGCATGGTAATTAGTTGTTTTGTATTATTCATAATAAAATTGATCGTGCGTAATTAGTTATTTGCCCTCCCACTATGATCAACTTCTTGTCAACGGGAGATCATGATAATGCTGGAAAGGGTTGTAAAATATTAATTAAGTTTGTTGTTATCCTGAAAGTATTCATCCGCTAGTTGCTCAAAAGTCGTGCAATTAAATTACTAATCGTGAGGAACACAGTATTCTAATCATCCGGGGACCGCAAAGATGTATCATGTTTTGAGGCAGCATTATTAGTGGCGGAAGATGAAGAAGGATATTTTTGTTTATGTTTCTTGGTGTTTGAACTGTTAGCATGTGAAGTATGAGCATCAAAGACCCATTGGTTTGCTTGATTAGAGGCTTGACATTCCGAAGTGGAAGTGGAAGCATATCACTATAGATTCTGTAGTTGGGCTTGAGGAGATTCGATACAGTGTGGGTTATTATATTATGCTCCGCGGGAGCATTATTGTCCTTTGCTCTTATATCTATGCACTTGCAACACATTTACGAAAACAAAGAAAGCAACTAAGTTTCCGTAGTTGTGTGCTTCTGAAAAGTTTTCAAGAATTGAAGACAGAGGCGAATCGAGGATTGAAGGTTCATGGTGCTATATTATTTTGAACATAGACCTGTTGTTATTTACACATGCCAAATAGAGAAAACATTTGGTAAGTTTGATCAATTTTACACTTCCGTTTAGATTATTCGTCTTTTCAATTTATATATACAAATAGATCGAATGAAAAAATATAATAATTATTCCAACTTGACACGAAGAATAAAACTTTCAACAATATTAATGTCATAAAATTTTCTTCCACATAGTAATCTATAAATGACTTCATTAATGATCAATCTTTAGGTAGAACTTTCTAAATTTTCAAGCACTCTTTCGCATGGCTAGCAAGATGAGATCAGGCACTCTTCTTTGAGTTCAAGAAGTGAGGAGACAGAAGAAACCATGCCCTTTGTAAATTTTCATACATATACAGAAAAGAAGTTCATGTTGGAAAACTAATTCAAAGTTGTAGTAGGAAACCTAAATATTGTTTAGGATTTGATATGTGCTAGTTTATTTAATTTATGTCTAAATAGAATTTGTAGTCAGAAATATATAGTAATAAGTTTTCATGTTTCTAGTTGAAATAAGTTCTGTACAATTATAAATAGGGGTATTGATAACTTATTTAATATGCAGATTATGAGGAGAATTGTAATGAGCATTTAGAGATTTAATACAATAAATTTTCCTTCAGTTCAGAATCAAACATGGGGTAGTCATGCTACCATATGACCAAGTTTATGTGCTTCAAGTTTATCATACACACAAACTGCTTGACATCCATAAGGTTGAGTAACTTGTCAAAGTTGAAAGCCATATTTGTTGATAATGAAATTGCAGACTGATTTAAGGGAGAGTAACGCATACATTTATAGGGCGTAAGCATTTGTTGAAAACGATAAATGCCTTTATAATGTTCTTTCTTTCTTTCTTCTATTCACTCATTCAATCACAATGTGAACTAAGGTAGAACTTACTATTCTCATTTGCGATTATTGCAGAAATTTCCCTTTAAGATCAAAAGATATTATTGAAGAAAACAAAAGTAAACTAAACAATCATGCATACAAGTTAAAACTAGTGATTTTACATGAAATTAACTGCTGCTAATTGGACATGGAGGAATTGGAATATCAATAATTCCCTGTAACATCTGTAATACTTGTTTCATGGGAGGACGAAGAGCCGGTTCGTCCTGAATGCACCAGATCGCCACTGAGATCATTCTCTCCAAGGTATTCTTGTCTACTTCTTCACTTCCAACAAGCTTGTCTATTTCACTTTCTACAAGGCAACTATATGCCCATTTAGAAAGCTCGATTTCTTCTATTTTAGTCACATACACTTCAATGTTTCTTCTGCAGCAAATGATTTCTAGCAATACAATACCATAACTGTAGACATCTACTTTGACAGAGATAGGGGCATTTGTTTGCCATTCTGGTGCCAAATACCCTCTAGTCCCTCTTACGCCGGTGAATGTTCTTGTTTGATCAGGCATTAGTAGTTTGGCCAACCCGAAATCTGAGATTTTAGCTGTCAACAACTCGTCGAGTAAGATGTTTTGTGGTTTTATATCACAGTGGATGATTGGAGCTTCACATTCTTCGTGGAGGTAAAGGATTCCCCTGGCAACGTCTAGTGCAATATTTACTCTTACGTTCCAATCCGGCCGAGTAGCTCCTCGGAACAAGAGATTTGCTAGGCAACCATTGCTCATATATTCATAAACTAGAGCTCTTTTTGAGCCTTCAGCACAATATCCAAGCAATCGAACCAAGTTCCTGTGTCGAGTTCTGCCAATGGACTTCATTTCTGCTCTGAATTCCCTTTCACCTTCATCGACTACTTTCTCTAGCCTCTTCACCGCCACAAGGTTTTTACCTTTGTCGAAGCTCCCTTTATAAACTGCACCGAAGGCACCCTTTCCCAACTCTTCTTTGAAACCATCAGTTGCTTGTTTTAGCTCTCTGTAAGAGCAAGTTCTGAGTATGAAGTTTTTCGTTAAGCCTGTGGTTCCTGTCTGCAATAGCTTCCTGTACTTTATTATCCTGAATTTGAAGACGTAAAATCCTGATAATGCAAGAGCAGTACCTAAATACAGAACGAAACTTATCGATAAAACCAAGATCACTACCCATGGTGGCTTCACTGAATCTGTTGTTGGATTTTGCACGACTATATTGCTGACTTTGAAAAAACCAGTGTGAGATCCTTCAGGAGCGCCTTTGACATACCTCAAAGGCAGCTTATGTTTCATACATTGGCCATTTTCGTCGAAGAGGGCAGCATCACAATCACAGTCCTCAAAACAAGATTTGACACAATCTTCTTTTCCTAGAAATGATGTAGCAAAATAAGGAGGATCGTCCCAAGTAAGATTAGTCGTAGTAGTAATCTTATAGACACTTGAATCTTCTTTGCCATGAATGCACTTTCCTCTAGTGAAGTTCCTTTGACAATCACCAAAGCTTGGATCATTCTCTTTCAAGTATGATCCTGGTAGACACATACAAGAGTGTACATTGTGAGTTGTAACACAAAAGCTGTTAAGGCCGCAGAATCCCTTCACAAGACAGAGATCATCGATCGCCTCCCACTCCAACCGTATTTTGGAATTACCATTGGAGTCGAATTCATGAGAATAGAGTCGAAAATTTCCATCATGATCGAGTGTAGCCCGATAAATACCTGTGTTCTTCTGCATAAGTGGACTATATAATCGTCGAATTACTGAAGAATCAGTGTCATTGATCAGCAATAAGATGCCTGTACTGTTAAGAAGCAGATGATTTCTGCAACCAGAGCAATAGACCTGTGAAGCCCAATAGGCATCCACTGCCTCATTCAAATTTTTGGGGTATGCAACAAGGTTCCCATCGCCCTGCATCACGAGGCGAAATCTCCCTGAGGAATGATTTGTGGAGGAGAAACTAGAAATCAATTTAACCCCACTAGCTAGAATCTGGCCACCTAATATTGTATCACCAGGAGAATTGAAACTCTCATAAATAGACTCATGATCTTGGTTGTAAAGAACAAAGTTACCATTATCAAGCAAGTTGGCATAATATGCAGATTCTGATGAACTAGCAATAGTCTTATCCTCCTCATTACTTGTTTTCAGAATTACTTTTCCATCAATAAAGGCCAAGGTGGAATCTGCAGATATTTCTGGATCATCACGAAACGCGGTCCAGACAATAGTATCATTGTTATTGGAGCCTCCCACTAGCCAAATTCCTACCTTGTAACCACTTCCTTGTGGATAAAAACCAAAGGCGAAATGACCAGAAGCTGAGTACCATGCTGTAGGCTGAGTAGTGGGATGAAGAGAAGATCCTAATCCTATTGTATTTCGTGGCTTTGATTGAGCTCTAGCTGATCCAAAGATCACATACAATACAAGGAAGAAATATAGAGACATGATATTGGAGTAAGAGAAAGCAGCACAAGTTTTAACTTTTAACATGGTTTTAACCCCATCCTTGTCAAAATAAGAAAAAGAAAAAGAAAACTAGAGAAACAACAAAGACAAACAGAAAATCTCTTCTCAAGAAATATCCAAGAAGAAACTGGGAATATTACTTGGTCAAGTCAACCATTAGGTCTTCTTAATGAGTTAGCATCAACAGAAAACTATAAACAAGCAGGGAAATATTTTAATCGAAAAGTCTTCCCTGAGAAAAGTCGATGAAAGACCTGAGAAAAGGACAATTAATTCTATCTTTAAACTTTCCATGCGTAAAAATTCTAACTTTGAAAACAAAGGCTGAAAAGGACTACAAAGAAAGAAACTTTAACTACTCCCTTTGGTCCATATTAGTAGAAAATATTGTTTTAAATTCTCCATTTTTCATTCTTTTGTTTTCCTTTCCCTAGTTTACAATCAAAGTACAAAGGTCTGATATGAAGGCCAAGATCAAAGAGGTTAGAACATATTTGACGACAAAGCGCCAAAGTTATGCTCGACATTCAAACTGGTTTTGGTTCACATAAATAAAATGCTTGACATTCTATTACAAAGTAAAATTTATGCTTCATTATATATCAGTATGTTACAATATACAGAAGACATAAGAAACCTAAACAATGTTTGTGTATGCTAAAAATGGTATGTCCATAATTCCTTCTAACATGAGAACCACATTCCTCATAGAAGGGCGCAGATCAGGATTATCATGAATGCATAACAAACCAACCTTCACCGTCCTCTCTAAGGACTTCACGTCTACTTCCTCATCTCCCACTAGCTTTTTGAGATCATTTTCGACAAAGCATTTATGTACCCAAGTAGGAAGAAAGATCTCATCCTCAGTTGAGACGTTGACATCCATATTACTTCTACAGCATATGATCTCCAAGAGCATCACTCCATAGCTATAAACATCTACCTTGTCAGATATCAAGGCGGTATTCTGCAACTCTGGTGCCAAATACCCTCTTGTTTTGAGCTGAAGTTGGTTTCCTACTTGATTAGGAACCAAAAACTTTGCTAGCCCAAAATCAGAGATTTTAGCCGTCCACAAATCATCTACAAGGATATTGTGTGCCTTTATGTTGCAGTGAATTATGCAAGTCTCACATTCTTCATGCAAATAAAGTATTCCTCGTGATATGTCAAGTGCAAGCCTCATCCTTTGCTCCCAAGAAGGACTTGTTTCAGAATTAAATAGGATATCTGCAAGTGATCCATTGCTCGTGTACTCGTATACAAGAATCTTTTCGGATCCCTCCAAGCAAAAACCAAGCAAATGAACCAAGTTTTTGTGACGAGCTTGCCCAATTGCTGTCATTTCTGCTTTAAACTCCCTTTCTCCTTCATCCCCCATCTTCTCCAGTCGTTTTACAGCAATCGTTCTGTTACCTTCTGATAAAATTCCTTTATAGAGGTTTCCAAACGAACCATTCCTTATCTCTTCCTTGAAATATTCAGTGGCTTTTTCAAGCTCTTCGTAAGAAAATGATCGAAGAGTGAACTCCTCGTTTGGCCCCAAATATGGATTTTCCAACAGTTTTTGATATTGGCCCTCACTGCTTCTGTAGAAAAGATAACTGCAAATTGCAACAACCGTAAGCAGAAATGCTACGGAGCCAAGAGCCAGGGATAGAATCAAGATTATCTCTTTCCGGCTTTTATTTCTATTCCCAGCTTTTCCAGGATAGGGAACAGTGTGACCTGCAATTTGGGAAATATTGTAGCTCTGCTTGACAAAAGCCTTGACAGACTGATCAGTTGGATCAAGTGTTGAATATACTAATGGAAGCTTGAATTTGCAGCAAACTCCATTGACATATTGAGCAGCCCAACAAGTACAATCTTCCAAGCAAGATTTTCTGCAATCCTGCTCAACAATTGAAACCTGAGAAAATGGATATCCTCCAAGTTTCAAGTGTTGAATCATGGTGAGATTGTAGGCCAATAATGTAGAGTTGCTGCTTCCACAAGACTCTTCATAAACAAATCCCCGATAGCACCCTTGGAATTTCATTTCATGGTTGGCATATAAAAATCCTGGTAAGCAAGAACAAGCACCTGTGCTGCTGCTGCCATTTCTTGCAGTACAATAACTGTTTACGCCACAGAATCCCCTGGCTTGGCATTGATTTTGTAGCGATGACCAATTGATTTCCAAGCTCGATTCATCTCTGCCTTCAAAACTGTGTGTATAAAGCCTAAAAATACCATCAGGATCAAGAGTAGCGCGATAAATCACTGTCTTATTTGGTGTTCGAGTTGAGCTATTTGCTATTTCATTCACTTGAAAACCAAAACCATTAGAAGCATTTCTAAACAGTTGGCCTCTTGAAGTAAGACTCACAAAAACTGAATCAACATCACCGAATTCGCCTCTACTTTGTAACATGAAAGCCCAATAGGAAGCCTCAGGTCTATTTATGTAATTGGTTGGATATGCAACAAGATTCCCATCAGGCTGCATACTCAAATAAAATCTCCCAATTGAATGATCAATTTCACTGACACTAGAGACAAGGCTGTGGCCTGATATTAGGCGCTGGCCAACGAGGAGGGTGTCCGTTGGATAATCAAAACTTTCCCAAACGACATCTGTTTTATTATAGATAACAAAGTTACCAGAATCAAGCATGGAAGCTGAAGTTAGTGGCTTTGGAGATTCTGCAATGACTTTCATGTTCTGCTTTGTCCATAGAATAAGTTTGCCTTCTTTTGTAAACTCGAGGTATCCATCCGAATGAACTGGAGGATCATCTCTACTAGCACTCCAAACGACAGTTTTTTCGCTCGTGGAAGCTAACCATATGCCAACTTGAAATCCATCCCCTTTTGAGTAGAAACCAAATGCAAAATGGCCTGAAGAAGATAGCCAAGAACTCGGATTTCGGTTTGGATAAAGAATAGAACCTAAGGTTATGTTGGAAAGTTGCTTCTGTGCTCCAACTTCAACAGCTGCAAATAGCATTGGAAGCATCAAGAACATGAAAGTAGCCATGGCAGAAAGATGGGAAAATAGTAATATTTGCCACTTTTCGTATAAGGATATTTTGACTAATATACGCAGGGGCATTTTCAATTTTAAATGGTACCAATGATTAACACGTTAACAGGGAAAAGAGGATGTAAACGAAGGCTAACTAGGAAATTTCTTATGTACTGAGACGTTAAGATTTTGCCAATTCCTATTTGAATTTTTCTACCTTCATTTGCGTGTTAGGTGATTTAAGTTTGTCTTTTGCGCGTTGGATGGTTATATATGTTTTGATTTCATTAAACGGATATTTCTCTCTTTCCCCCTTCCATGTTCTTTCTTTCGTTATAAAAAGAAAACGATTAATCCAAAAAAAGAAATGCTACAAAGAATTGCATCACTAGAAGTCATGGATTACGTAGGGCATGGTTCCCTCATATTGGTCTTGTTTGACAGAACCAGCTAGGATGAATTTTGCTGTTACAAAGGTCAGAAAATCGGACAAACCATTTACCCTATTTAACTATGTTTTACTAAGTATAAAAACTAAATGTATCTTTTTTATAAATTTTACACATTCCCACAAAGGACTCCTTCTAACTAGTTATTACCTTTTAAAATCTGTGATTAGTGCGAATCAGTGATATCTTCTGCTTAAAAAAAAAAAGATACACAAAAATCACATACAAATAAGGTCAAAAAGTAATTGAACTAAACGATTGATAGTTGTTTAAACAACTAATTAAATTGCTTGAATAACCACTACTAAAAACACATCATTTTCTCATGGAAAAATTTTCAGTAGCAATTCCCACCGAAATACAGTGGGAAAATTAAAATTCCTTTTCCTAGAAGAATAATAACATTTGTCATTGACTATCCGTGGGAAAATTTTGGCACAAAAATGCGCAGGATTTAGTTTCTTTGGGAAAAATCATTTAAAAAATAATTATATAAAACTGAAAAACTTTCCCAGTGAAAACAGTGGGAACTTAAACAATAAATAATTTTTTTTTTACATATTCCCATAGACTCAGTGTGAACGGATATTTTTAAAATTTTCTTATAATCATGATAAAGATTTCCCAGTGTAGTAGCGGGAAAGTTTTATTATTATTCCCATACCTTAAGTTTTCCCTCATTCTATTCCACAGACGCCTCCCTCCGTCACTGCGTCTCTCACTTCACTCCATTTCCAGGTAATTCGACCCCTCTCTCTCTCTCTCTCACTCACTCACCCTCTCCTAAATCATTTTTGATTTCCCCCAAAGTACTTTGAAACTTAGAAACTTACGGATTTTATACTATTTCAAACCCTAGGTTTAAAAAAATTAATGTGAAGCGAATCTGATTTGTCATGGGGGTATCATTTGTCACCTAATCTTCTGTCTCTGTTACTGATTTGGGATGTATTGGCCAACCATCATTACTCCCTTTTTTATTTCAACTTTCCCTTTGACCGTATGTGCCTTTGTTCTCTTTTTGAAACTTAGGTTAAACTGATTTGTTCAGGTAGTATGTGCCTTTGTTCTCATTTTTGGTCGCTAACTTGTGCTAAATTGTGATATTACTTTTGAGGTGATGAATCTAAACTTACACTCTTATTTAAACATGAAATACACCTGGAGCTTCTATCTGTCACTTTTTAATATGAAAGGATAAACAGATTTAATTAGACATCTGGAGTATGTGTACTGAGTGACTAAGACCTTTGTTTGAAACTTATATTTCTGCTGGAAGTGGTTTTCTCCATGAAAATCGGTTTAACAATGCATATTGCAGAAGCATCATATTGAATAACAATGCAGACAGAAGATTAGGTGACAAATGATACTATTTCAAACCCTAGGAAAATTAATGATGGTTGCCCTCTTTTGCAATTTTTCTAATTTTGTCTTTGAAGTTATTAAATTTTTATAGTTCATAGCTGGTGGAATATAAACTCGTGAAATTATGGTTCAAACTTTGAATTTTTATAAACCAGCGGAATGAAAATGAATAAAGAGGGAAAATAGCTTATTTTTGAGCCCTACAGTTAGTTCCTCTGCGTGGTCCTATTTTTGGTTTCGGCTGTTGAGCAATTGGTATTTCTATTTCCCATTGGAATTGAATAACATTTAGAGCTATTTAATTGTATGTTTGTGTTAATTGAATTAAGGATAGTTTGTCTACTTACTACTCACTGGTAAGACGAGATAAGCATATCTTGATTGTTCTTTCCTCAGGACTTTGGTATCTAGTTAGGGAAGAAGCTTGAAATTTTTAATACTCTCATCTAATGCAAATGTGTTCTTCAAATATCACTCTGTCAACAATTTTCGTGAGGAAAAAGAACCCTTCTTTCATGTCCATTTACGCACTGATTTTTTTCTGGAGGTTCAACCTATATATGTTTTGGAATTTTCTATCCAAAACCCTAGCTGAAGAAGCTGCTTGGAAATTTGCAAAACAGAATGAGATTGACTTAGTTACACTTCATCCAGGTCTAGTCATCGGTCCACTTCTGCAGCCCACGCTCAATTACTCTTGCGAGGCTATATTGAACTTCATAAAAGAAGGTAAGTTTGTTCAGAATGGTTGGTAAGCTTTTTAAGCATTTAATATCAAATGCATCGGACAATGAAGTTAATAGATTGTTGCTTGAGTATTATATGTAACCATGGTCTCTTTGTGAATGTGCAGCACCTTTGATCTTTCCATTATACTCCTAACTTTTACAATTTATAATTGACATATTTATGCTTCTGTAACTACTGTATTAACAAATGCTTGAGAAGGCAAGTCTTCTGTCTCACCTATGGTATAAATTTTAAAAATTGATCAACCATAGAATATGAAACTTTGTTTAGTACATATTAAGGTCGGTATTAAGACTAACCAACAATTCACTTCAAGTTAAGATAACTCAAGGGAAAGAAAAGGATACTACACTGAAATAAGCAGAAAATGATATTAATCTGTCTATGGAATTCAAGTAAAACATAAGGTTAAGAATTTTACAGTCTAACTTAATTGTCAAGAACGTCTGTTTTGACTAATCTTCTAGGAAATAGATTAGCAGGATATTATTTCTTGCATATTGTTCGTTCTTTTATTACCAGATTTTAAGCTATCGTCAAAGTGCATAATACCACTATGCGAATATATATTTCTCCTTCTTCCCACTTTCTTATAAGGAGCAAGACTAGCAACTGAAAAAAAAGATAGGTTTCTTAAGCTTAGAGGAAAGAATTTAAGCATCCATTTGCTATCAACAACGCAGAATTCTAGGAAGCGCTGAGCATCTATACTCCTTTTTTTTATATAAATGTGTAGAGCTCTTCCAGAAATGGAGATAGAAAGTTGACAATTTTAAAATACACAGTTTAGTTTTTTTGGTTGTCGACTTGTGTAGTTATCTTTTAACAAGGACCATTAATCAACTAAAATATAAGAAAACAAAGTACATGATCAGTATATAGTGGTCAAATCCAAAGTAGTCATCTTTATCAATTTTTATGTATAAGGAATAGTTTATGAAACATTGTTTCATGATGTTTCACTGAGCGAATAAAATAAATTATGCTATATTATTTAGATGGCTCCTCAAGGTAAAGATGGTCCAGCGGGTACTGCAGCGGAGAAGGGTAAAACAAGAAAGAAAACAAAAGTTTCTAGTAACTTAGGTATCACTACCTCCCCCCCACATGCACAGTCTATTTATAACTATTTTAGTTACCATTTTTTAACATATTATTTATTTTTTCAGGAAAATGCTAAAGGAAGACCAGTTACTCATGATGAGGTATTTGAGGAAACCCACATGAAGAAGTTGAAGGATGGAACAAAAACGACTTGGATCGAGCCGCGCGCCGAGACAACCCATGTAAGATTAACAACATTCTTCACATATATGAATTAACAATATCGCTCTCTTATTGTTAAGTAAGTGATTTCCATGTATACATGCCAGCTTTAAAACCAGGTTCTCTATATCTCAATGCCTTGTGAATTTTCCCTTGACCAGCAGTTATATTCCCATATAGAGAGCTAATTCTCGATAAGGAACACCCCTAAATAGCAGCAAAACACTAATCAAATTAAGAGGATCAATCATGCACATTTTAAGCAGCTTTCTTTCGTGGGTTCACATAGTAAATTTGTTAGCTGCCAAATTAGTGGAAAGATACTTTTGAAATAACATAAACTTGATAAATAGTCTTACATGGTAAAATTCTTGACCATGAGATAGAAAATCTGAAACCATTCCGTCCTTCAAATTTCATTAGCTTTATGTCTTCCTACAGAACACATCTTGTAATAGAAGAGGATTATCTCCATGATTAATAAAAGCTTCTACTTCATTGTGTTTTCGATTGACTATTACAATCAAAACTTAAAAGTAATTAATAAGAGTGATACCTTGTAATGATGGTAAAAATCTACTGATTTGAGTGGCACGCTCGAAGGACTTGATGCATGAGTCATCCATCTGCCTTCTATCTGAAGCTTTTATGCTTTGAATCAGAAACATAGCTTCTGTAATCTTGTTCATATGCATCAAACAGATTGCCAGATTACTTTGCTTGTTCTTATCCGGTTCGAGAGAGAGTGCTTTTCTGCATTAAAGAAATTTCCTTATAAAGCCAATTTTCTACAAATAAAGGCACATCTCTATAGTACTCTTCTGCCAATTTAAAGTTATTCAGTTGTATGTGTGACCATGCCAAGTTCCCTAACAATCTGCAATTGTGTCGAAAATTCAAAAACGGAATCATAAAAGTAATTAAAACTTAAAAGTGATTAAAGTATTCATTTTAAATGAATTGTAATGTCTAAATTAAATTCCATGAAGTTCAGGGGAAGAAATATGAAAACAGAGTAAGCATAATTGCACAAGTCTCTATTTGATATTGTCCTAAGTTAATAAGTTTCTAAAGTAATTTAATTTAGACATGATGAAGACATATTTTTTGGTAGGAGCTTTTAAACTGATAATACTTGTAATTTTTGTACAGGACAATTTCAAACAAATCTTGGAGGAGTTCATTCAAAGCTAGCCGATTGATGATCAAGGTAGGCCAATCCAACCAACCCAGGAGGAGATCATGGATACGTGGATTAAGGCAGCTAGTGGCGTGCATAAGGGGAGAGTCTACGGCCTTGGATCAGAGTTTAGTCTCGGCCGTCGTACTTCTGGATTGTCTGGTTCTTATTCTTCGTCACATTGCTCGGTTGATCTAGATGAGTTTGAGCAATTGAATAGGAAGGTAGCGAAGATTACGGAGTTGTATCTTCAAGAAAGGGCTGCAAGGGAAGATGCATTAAGACTTGTCACTCGTGTGTTAAAAGTCTCAAGTGTCAGATAAACTCCCTCTTAGCATCTGGCGCATTTCCTGTGCCTCGTTCTCCAGCATCTGATGATAACTAAGGAGTAGTTTCTTTTATTAGTTTGTTTTGGATGGTACTTGGATGTTGAATATTCAATGTTGGATTTTTTGAGTTTTTGTTCTACTTTTGGATTAATTATGAAATGGATTGATTAGTTGTTTATAAAATGAATTGGATGGCATGTTGAATTAGGTATTTGAATGCTTAATTGTATTTAGTCTTGTATTGTTGGTTGTACTTTCTGTTTGGCAGGTGGTGTAGTTCTAAAAACAAATTTGGCCATGAAGATATTTTCTAGATTTTCCACGAATTTCCCATCGACTCCCTAGGAATTTTGTGCATTTTTTTTCCATCTTTCCCACTACTTCCATGGGTAAAATAAAAAAAAATATCTAAAATATTTTTAGTACTTCCTACGGATTCGGAGGGAAACTTAAGAAAATTAAATTATTTTATTTTCTTACTTCTCCCATGATGTTCGTGGGAAATTACACCCTCAGTGGGAAACTCGCTGAGAATTACCCGCGAATGTCGTGGGAAATTATTTTCCCACCAGCCATTTTCCCACCGAGCGTCTCCCCTGGGAATTTCGTGGGAATATTGAAATTTTCCACCGATTTCCCACCGATTCTTCCGTGGGAAAAGTCTGTATTTCTAGTAGTGAACTTTGCTAGTTGTTTAAATAGATAATTGATTTGCTTAGATAACTTTTGTAGTTGTTTAAATAACTAATTGAGTAGTTTAAATAAGTGATCGAGTTGCTTAAACAACTCTTGTTTGAGAAAGTGGTGAGTACATTAGATGATCGACGTGGGTAGGGTGGGTAGCTATAATTGTGATGACCTGATAGGTCGTTTTGAGTACTAGCTCTTACTTTCGTGTTTCGAACCTCCACTAGATTCATTTGGTGATTCTTGATTTGCATGCATGGTTCGTGTCTTTTTCCGAAAAAAATTGCGTAAAAATTTAAAGAAAATGTGATTTTTGGCTTTAGAAACAACTTGAGTTGACTACGGTCAATTTTTGGGTAAACGATCTCGGATCGATATTTTTTGATGATTCTGGTAGGTTCGTATTGTGATTTTAGACTTGGGCATATGCCCGAAATTGAACTCAGAGGTCCCTAGGTTGATTTGATTTATTTTGCCGAAAGTTAGCAATTTGAATGTTTGAAAATTTTCTAGGTTGGCCATAGGTTGATTTTATGGTTATCGCGTTCCGATTTTAGTTTTGGAATTTGGTATAGGTTCGTTTGCTATTTGAAACTTGTCTGCAAAATTTAGTGCAATTCAGAGTTAGTTTGATAGGATTCGGACATTTGGTTATGATTTTAGAGGTTCTTGAGTTTTCTTTTGAATTTCATACGTTTTGATGTCTGATTCATGGTTCTAGATGTTATTTTGGTATTTTGATCGCGCGAGCGAGTTTGTATGATGTTATGACACTCGTGCGTATGTTTCATTTGGAGCCCGAAGGACTCGGGTGAGTTTCAGATCATTTTGAACTTGGAGGACAGTTGTACGAAATAGGACAAATAGAATAGTAAATGTAACAATCATGCATAATGGCAAAACCCAATTTCAATTGAAACTAATTAGTTTAGTTAAAGTAGAAATTTTTTCTTCTCAATAATTATTTTTAGCTGCATATTCGAAAGTTGAGACCAAAGAATACAGCTTCAGTGAAAGTTCAGTGGAGAGGCTAGCCAGTCGAGGAGGCTACTTGGGAGACCGAGCGGAAGATGCGGAGCAGCTATCCACATCTATTTAAGACTCCAGGTATGATTCTAGACCCGTTCGAGGACGAACGTTTGTTTAAGAGGGGGAGAATGTAACGATCCGACCGGTCATTTTGAGTATTGTAGCTCATTTCTCCATTTATTGCTTATTCTATATTCAATTGTGGTTATGTGACTTTTCGGGGTGGTTGGTTTGGTCCAAGGATGTTTCGGAATAAATTGGGACACTTAGTCCCAAGGTTGGAAGCTTAAGTTCAAAGAGTTGACCGGATGTTGACTTATGTGTAAACAACTCCGGAATGGAGTTTTGATGGATGTGATAGCTTCGTGTGGTTATTTTGGACTTAAGAGTATATTCGGATATTGATTTGGAGGCCCGTAGGTTGTTTTGACTTGAATTGGGGAAAGTTAGAAAGTTGAAAGTTTGGAAGGTTGAGAAGTTTGACCGAGAGCTGACTTTATTGATATCGGGCTAAGATTTTTGTTTTGGTAGTTGGAGTAGGTCTGTTGTGTCATATATGACTTGTGTGCAAAATTTTAGGTCAATCGGAGTTGGTTTGATAAGTTTCAGCATCGATTTAGAAGTTGGAAATTCATCAGTTTCGTTACGCTTGAATTGGGGTGCGATTCATATTTTTTATATTGTTTGATGTAATTTGAGGCTTCGACTAAGTTCGTATCATGTTTTAGAATGTGTTGTATATTCGGATGGGGTCTCGGGGCCCTCGAGTGTAATTCAGATTGAAATCGTATTAAATTTTGGACTTATGAAAAATTTGTTGGGTTCAGTTATGGTGTAACCGCACCTGCGAGGAATTGGCCACAGGTGCGGAGCCGCAAAAGAGACCAAGGGGCCGGAGAAGTGGTTTTAGGTGAGCTGGGCAGTGACCGCAGGTGCGAGGTTATTTCCGCATCTGCGAACCAGCAGATGCATGTTTGTTTCCGTAGAATTGGAGGAGGAGCTGGATTGGAAGTCCGTAGACGCGGATAAATATACGTAGAAGCGCATCCGCATGTGCGGTCATTGGTCCACAGAAGCGGAAGGGTACGGGGGAGAAAGAGTCATAGAAGCGGATATTTTCCACATGTGCGGGGTATGGACCACAGATGGTTGACCACAGAAGCGGCGATTGTGAATGCAGAAGTTGTTTTGCTTGATAGAATGATGTAGTCGAGGGGTTGATCCTTTTTCTTCATTTTTGGACTTCAGAAGCTCGGGTAGTGGCGATTTTTTAGAGGGATTTCACTATAATTCACGAGGTAAGCAACTTTTGATCACTTTTGTCCATTGATATTGAATACCCATTGATTTTTTCACCTAGATAATGTGTGTTTGAGTTGAAGTTTGGGGGATTTATGGTTTATGTATTGGAGAGTAAGATTTGGAGATTTGAAGTCCGATTTGTGGTTGGAATTGGATGATTTTGGTATGGTTGGACTCGTAATTGAGTGGGTGTTTAAATTTTATCAGGTTCTAAGGTACGAATCCGGGGTTGACCTTTTGGGTAAATTTTTCGAATTTGGTTAAAGAACGTAGCTTTATCGTATATAATCGGTTCTTATAGCTTGTATTGATTATATTAAGTTATTTGTGACTAGACTCGAGTCGTTCGGAGGCCGATTCGCGAGGCAAGGGTTTGTTGAAGTATTGAGTTGCGCACTTTGAGGTAAGTCACACTTCTAAATTTGGAACTGAGGGTATAAATCCCTGGAAAACTGTTATATGGTTTGTGTTGGGGTGACGCATATGCTAGGTGATGGGCGTGTGGGTGTCACCGTGGTATTCATGATTCGGTTGATTCTTTTGGACTGTGTTGTTATCAAGTCTTGTTCTATCTATGAAATCCTTACTTGTTAGAGTAATTGAGCTATAATTTATGTAAGAAAACATGTTTAGGCTATATGCTTATTCAGTTGAGGCCTACTGAGAATATTTCTGTTGTTTTGAGTTGTCTGCTTTAACTTCAATTATGTGCTCAGTCATGATCATTTGTTTGCATATCATATCTAAGTCTCTGTTATCATTCACTATTACATCACATATTATTATTGTTTGGGCTGAGTAGTACAAGGTTGTGAGACTTGAGACTTGAGAGATTGGTGACTGAGGTGGGCCTGAGAGGGTTGCATGCCGCAGTAGGCCTTATTGACTTATTTATTATTATGGATCGGGCTGCACAACGCAGCAGGCCTTATAAGCTTTATATTAGCGCTTGGGCAGGATCCGCCCCTCCAGCGTCTGACATACCAGCAGTGAGCGCAGGCGCAGATATATATATATNCTACAGTGCGGAGTGATTTTTGTATGTGTGTGATGAGTGGGTAATTGAGACAGACAGATTTAGTACTCTGATAGTGTGAGTACCTAGGGAATATCATCGTGATTCAATACATTTGACATGCATATCTGACATGTAGGCTCAGAGATGTAACTTTTCTCATGTTAGATGTACTTGACTATTTTATCAGTGTTGGGCTTTAATTGTTGAACTTAAAAGCATGTCTAAATATTTGCACCCGAACGAGTTGATTATGGAAATTTCTCTGAGTTATTTGTTGTCATTGTCATTATCTTACCTGTTTTGACTTTATATTGGTTCAGACGGTATCCTTTTGAGCTCGTTACTGCTTTCAGCCCAGGGTTAGTTCTATTACTTATTGAGTACATTGGGTCGATTATACTCATACTACACTCTACGTGTAGTGTGACTTTATAAGGAAAGTCACACTCAACACTTGAAACCCAAATGAAGGGAAGCTAGGCCCAAGCTGGGAAGGACCGTACCGCGTCCTCGGAGTAGTAGGCAAAGGGTCCTACAAACTTGGCACCATGGAAGGCGAGCAACTTCCAAACAACTAGAACATATCAATGCTCAAACGCTATTATTGCTAAGGTATAACCTTCTCCCTTTTCGCTTTATGTCTCATACTAATTTCTTACAAGTGTTCGATGGGAGACGTCGAATCACCCTTCGACTCGAAGACCTTGGGTTAAAAAGCATGCGTTGCGCTCTTTTTCCCTTCGATCGAGTTTTATCCCAAATAGGCTTTACTGGCGAGGTTTTTAACGAGGCAACATCTATATGCTACCTAAGGAAAACTCAACAAGTATTCAAGGCTTCTTCTCAATCAGCCTCGAATACTGGGGGGCATCCCCCTTGGAGGTTATATTTTCAAAAAAATCGAGTTATGCATAAGAGGACCTCGATAGAAAATCATTGTATTGGGCCAAACGGTCAAATGAACCGTGTCCATGTAGAATAATCGAGCCTCTGAAGGCAAGAACATGTACACATATATCAAGTAATCAAAAAAGCCTCTCCACTTGTAAAAACGTTGTGTGCCTCAAAGAAGTTTACTACTCTCACGAAAACCGGCTCAAGGGCAAAAAATCCTCGAACGCTCGGGGACTGTCACCAACAGTCAGCTCATCGAAGCCATCAAAAGCTTAAAATCCGTAAGA